GATTCGATGCATCATGTCGACTGCGTGAATCGAATGATGTCGATGCGCGCAGAATCGAATGATTCGAGCATCATCGCATTCCACGCTCGAATCACTTCGATCACGCAATCGCAAATGCAATTCGATTCACGCACTCGAATCATCTCGATTCACGCCAATCGAATCATTCGATTCACGCATCGAATCATTCAGATTCTCTTTTCTGATATAAATCAAATAATATGCGATAAATCAAATTGTATCAATGACATAAGGCGAAATCGTAATGTGATAAATCAATGTAATGGTGATAATCGAATGTTATATGTTATAAAATCAACCATAAAACAAAAATCGAATTATGACACAAACAACTTGCCATACATAATAGGGTATAACCTGTATAGAATTGTCGCTCATGGCACCTGCTGAATTATGCCGCACATACACGCATGAGCCCATTCTACCATGTGCTAAACTAGGTGCAAGTACTTGTATGGACGATTTTACGAATTTGACATCTTCCAGTTTTAAGTGCCAGACCAGATATGCCAAAATGAATTCAAGCATATTCAGTCCACCCTGTGTTAATGGACACCTCTATAAAACAGATACCTGTCCAATCATATCAACACTTGCAGCATTTACCCTGAGTGACAGTCACACAGTGAAAACACCGCTATAGAATTGACGCATGTTGATAAAAAGAATTTGTGTCTCCCCTGGGCGACCCTCACATACAGGTTTGGCTGTAAGCGGGTAGTCGCAGCCACCACTTGACCCCTGGGCGACCACATACAGGTTTGGCTTGAACGCGGTAGTCGCAGCACCACTGACCCCTGGGCGACCCTACATACAGGGTTGGCTGTAAAGCGGGTAGTCGCCAGCCACCACTTGACCCGCTGGCGACCGCACATACAGGTTGGCTGTAACGCGGGTAGTCGCAGCCACCACTGACCCGCCGGCGAACCCTCACATACAGCGTTTGGCTGTAAGCGGGTAGTCGCAGCACCCACATGACTCCCTGGCGACCTCACATACAGGGTTCGGCTTACGCGGAGTCGCAGCACCACTGACCCTGGGCGACCTCTCACATACAGGGTTGGCTTAGCGGGTAGTCGCAGCAGCACCACCACTGACCGTGCGGCGACCTCACATACAGGGTTGGCTGTAAGCGGCGGAGTCGCAGCCACACGACGCCGCGCGGCACGCACGCTACGGCGTCGCAGGCACTACTGACCGCCAGCGCGCGGACGCAGGCGGCTACGGCGTCGCAGCCACCACTGACACCGCCGCCGCGGACGCACGGCTACGGCGGCGCAGCCACGCACTGCTCCGCGCCGCGGACGCACGCTACGGCGTCGCAGACCACCACTGACCCGCGCCGCGGACGCACGGCTCTACGGCCGTCCGCAGCCAACCCTGTGCAGCCACACTAGGCCGCGCCGCGGACGCACGGCGCTACGGCCGTCGCCGGCTCGCCTGCGTCAGCGTCGCGCGCTAGTACGCACACCAGCTGCTGCGGTCAGCGTCGCGCTAGTACGCACCGAGCCTTGCGCCTGCCTCGGCGTCGCGCTTAGTACCACTAGCTGCTGCTTGCTCTGCGGTCAGCGGTCCCGCTAGTACGCACGCCAGCTGTGCGTCAGCGTCACCTAGTAACGGCACCTACCGCTGCTGCGTCAGCTGTCGCGACTTAGTACGCACCTAGCATGCTGGCAGTGTCGTGCTAGGTACGCACGTAGCTGCCTGCTGCGTCAGCGTCGCGCTGAGTATGACCTAGCTCGCTGCCGTCAGCGTCGCGCTAAGTTAGCACTTAGCTGCTGCTCTCGCGTCGCGCGCTAGTACGCACCTAGCCTGCTGCCGCTCAGTGTCGTGCTTAGTAGCAACCTGCTGCCGCTGCGTCAGCGTCGGCCTTAGTACGCGACCTAGCTGCTGCGTCTAGCGTTCCGCCAGGTACGCCAACCTAGCTGCTTGCGTCAGCGTCGCCTAGTAAGCACCTAGCTGCTGCGTCAGCGTCGCGCTAGTACGCACCTAGCTGCTGCGTCAGCGTCGCGCTAGTACGCACCGTACTGCTTGCAGATCTGCACGACGGTCGTGAAGACTCGCACGGAGAAGTCGACGCGCATCTCGAGGTACTGCAGGTCGGGCAGCTGCACGCGGAGGAGCTTGTGCATTGGCGTGAACTCGAGGTGCGTGTCCGCCTGCACGCCGTACTGGTCGAGCGTCGTGCGCGTCCGAGACAGCCACATGTTCCGCGACGGCCACCAGAGCGCGTGGTCGGACCAGTCGATGGCCATTTCTGTCGAAGACACGAGAGTAGGTTTAGGAGATAGTTTAGCGTTAGAGCTTCGCAGGTTGTGAAACGATGGTGCCACGTGTAATACAATCTCACTGTACAACTAGTTTGAATAGTTAAATTGACCCTCATCCTCCTAACACGCTAATAGTAAGACTCGGTCCCTTTAACTGATGTATATTTATTTCAAAACGTTTTTTGAAATAAATATACATAATTTCATTTAATCTTGCTTTATATTTAAAATATTTTTATTGATGACAGATAAATCAACATCCCCTTTATTCTACTTACTACCTATTGTCTATATATGTGTATATGTGTATATGTGTATATGTATATATGTGTATATGTGTGTGCGTGTGTGCATGTGTGCGTGCGTGCGTGCGTGCATGCATGCGTGCGTGCGCGTGCGTGCGTGCGCGTATGTAAATAAATATACATACATATATCCCTGTATAGTAAATGTGGGATTTAACGAAAAGACCTGCAACCGGCAACGTTGAGTACAAGGAGCCACTATATACAATACCATAGACCCTTCTTTCAGCACAAAGATTAGCGACACACCCACTGAAGATAGTGGCTGCATTTAATCTCGGGGTAAAAAAATCCAATATTATGGCTTCGTGCTGTCTGCTGCGGCCGGTGTAAAGTAGCTCACGGCTTTACATGATGAACGAGAGACAGCTGGCTGGGTGGACAGCAACGACCCGCACCGGGGCACCGCAGTGCACACTGATGACTGTTGAGGGTACGCCTCCGATGAGGGTGCAATCAATGCGCGCACGTACACTTCATATGAAACGTATAATGACGGGGTGGGAGAGCGAACGAGATCGCACGTAAAGTGTAGGCTGCCACTCATAGATGTAATAGATTAGGTTAACGTTCTTACATCGGGTAGTAGGTGCTGTGGGACTGGGAGTTGGGGATTACGTGATTTAGTGGTTGGTCGTTTATTTATAAGAATCGGTTTACAATTCATTTTTAGGGTTTTGAAAGACTGAAAGTTATTGTAATAGCTTGTAGGCGGCGCTCAGCTACTCAGTACTAGTACTACTAGTACCAGGAGCGTATATAATGACAAATATTTGTCATTATACGCTCCTGCTAGTACTTGTAAGTCGCTACTCAGCGCAAATGGTGTAAAGTGGTGTTTTTTGCATTAGCTGTAAGGACGTTTTTTAAACAAACTGAAATAGCATACATGCATACACATGACTTTTAAGCGTAATTACTGATGAGCACTTATTAATAATATTACTAATGTCATGGCATAATGCTGATGTCAATTAACACACCGAATCTTTTATCAGCTGAATAGCTTTTACCTAGAGAGTAGAGACACTAACAATTACTTACAAGGCACGTAAAAAATCAAACAAGAAAAACACATACAACCTGTCTGTAAAAATGTTTAAATAATAGTTACATTTAATTGTTTTATACTAAATATTTAGTGTCTATTTATATACTCTACGAATTCAAAACTGAAGCATTTCACTTGGATTTTGCCTAAATTAATTATTTCAACAGATTAACATTATTTTCAATAGCCGAGCGCTACAAAATAACTAAAAACATATTATATTTTCTAAAGAACAGAACCATAACCTGAAGGAATTCCTGAAGGATGCCAAATTATATAACTGCACTTTCTTTAACTCTTCTTTAACTAACTTTCTGTGAAATACGGAGAAGACAGGTTTCAGGGAATAAGCTGATAAACAAAATGATAAACACAGTGAAGGATAGAACTATCCTGAAGGGATAATATTGTCTTAATAATTATTACATTTACTTTAAGGTTATTAATTATGGTTATTTTACGATTACTTTCTAAAGATTTCTAGATAAAATGTTGCACATCTTCTGAATAGAATTGATCTTATCTCAAACTAGATAGATATTTATATATTTAATACATTATATACCTACATATTTAATAGAATAACGAAATAACTGCACCGTGAATAATGGGACATGACACAGATTAACAAGATTGGATATCGAGTTCCCACATGTAACAGACACGCACGGTGTACGACACACGCACGCACAGTCACACGTACGCACGAATGCGCGCACACACGCACACAGACAGATATACAGACAAACAGACGCACACAGACGCACACACAGGCGCGCGCGCGCACGCACGCACGCACGCAGAGAGAGAGAGAGAGAGAGAGAGAGAGAGAGAGAGAGAGAGAGAGAGAAAGAGCGAGAGAGAGAGAGACAGATAGACAGGAACACAGGCACGCAACGCCAACCCTGTCCTACATACATCACGTTAAACGTAGGACTATATCTAATTAAATACCATTATCGAAAAAGTACATATATACTATTTTTGACCTTTTACCTCTCTATATAGATACAATTTTGCATGTGGATCCGAATAAACATTCAGAGGTGGGCGTCATACAGTCTAATATATGCTCCACGTCACGTACTCCTGATATATACATATATCATATTCGCAAGTACAAATGTTTGCGTGCAAAAGATATTTGGCTGCCTTCAGACAGCCACGTCTGGCCACGTTCGTTGCGGTTGCTTATACTAGCGGTTCGTTGCGGTTGCGGTTACTAGCTGAATAAGACAACGAACTTCTCAGCTGCTGTAAGTCGATGTTGAAAGATTCTGTTGTGGGCTTGGCAATTTACTGTATCAAGTCATCAGAGCTCGACAAGACACTCTTTTTAAGTCCTCCGGGTACAATTAGATAATCTCCTTCTCAGAACTGCACATCATTTCTATAATTGCATTATTCTCGAACAAACCACGTCTGATATCAGGAACAGGTTATTGTATAAAGAACATAACGAAACGGTTGTAAGTGAGTGAGCTAGGCCGCTGAATTTAAAACGAATGTCAATTGACAACATCTCAATTTGCATGCGTAGATATAGTGTTGGTGGCTTTGCCGGTGTATCATGGACACCGTTATCTGCAGTAATATATATCTGAGGTACACATTGTATGTGTCACAACAAACACAGGTAAGTGCAGGTGGTAATATCATATAGAGATCGTAAACGTTGACTCACGCCTTACACAGTTACATGGGAAGGTGCTTTCGCACTCGATAGCGGCGTATGTAGCAGCTTTACCAAGCTTTGCAGCCAAATATATAAAAGCTTTCGCGCCACATCGGCACATATCAGGTAATTATCATGGCAGACAGTTGCGCAGTAAACTTTGTGATTGTTTCAACGCAACTAATCGCTTTCCTTTGAAGGTTTTATAGAATTTTTAATGGTTGTAAGAATTACTTAACCAACTTCGTCCCATAGGGGAGCATACGTACGGGGCGCCAAGTAGGACATGGCTCAATTTTGTCAACAAAATCCATTTTTGTACCTATAAACTTGACAAAAATGAGTTTTGTGGGACAAAACTCAATTTTGTCTAACAAAACTCAATTCTGTCTCACAAAACTCACTTTTGTGCACAAAACTCAATTCTGTCTCACAAAACTCAATTTTGTGAACACAAAACTCACTTTTGTGCACAAAATTCAATTCTGTCTCACAAAAGTCAATTTTGTGGACAAAACTCAATTTTGTGAACACAAAACACTGTCAATCCTGTCCCACAAAACTCGATTTTGTAACACAAAACTCAATTCTGTCAATCCTGTCCCACAAAACTCAATTTTGTTTGAGTTTTGTGTTCAGCTTCTCCCCTTCCTCCTTCTCCACCAGCTGGTGTCTTAGCTGAAGTGGAAATCGCCATATTTGAGCATATATGCGAAGTGCGCATGCGCATACGCATCCTATATCATATATTTCGCAGGTCATAAATTTCGCACACAAAGACGAGCTGTGATTGGTCGGGTCGGGACGCACGCGAAGTGCGCGTGCGCATAGGCGCGGGGGCGGGGCTATCTCAGATATTTCGCAAGTCAGAAATTTCGCGCTACACCTGTCGCCATGGAGTGACCCATTTCTCCAGCCCAGTTTCTGACCAATGGTAGCCCTTCTTACATGCGTGTGCCATATTTGGGCCACAAAATCGAAACATATGCAAATGAGCTGACAAAATTGAGTTTTGTGGAACAGGATTGACAGAATTGAGTTTTGTGTTCACAAAATTGAGTTTTGTGGGACAGGATTGACAGAATTCTCCCCTTCCTCCTTCTCCATCAGCTTCTCCCCTCCTACTTCTCCCCTTCCTCCTTCTCCACCGGGAGAAGCTGGTGGAGAAGGAGGAGGGGAGAAGCTGGTGGAGAAGGAGGAGGGGGAGAAGCTGGTGGAGAGGAGGAGGGGAGAAGCTAGTGGAGAAGGAGGAAGGGGAGAAGGAGGGGGAGAAGGGAGCTGGTGGAGGAAGAGGGGGAGAAGGGAGCTGGTGGAGGAGGGGGAGAAGGGAGCTGGTGGAGGAGGGGGAGAAGGGAGAAGCTGGTGGAGGAGTAAGAGGAGAAGGGATAGTCTGCCAACACAGCCCCCCCCCTCCCCATACATCAATGAAATGCCGCCGCAGCACGGCACGCGTGCGGGCCAAAAGAAAGATACGTTGTCAGCACGGAACCACCGTCGCATTGTTCCCATCGTATCTTGCGGAGTTCTCATGGCGACAGGGAGTTGGTCCCAACAAGTTCGGCAAAATGATCATTTGTATTTGTGTGATTTATGTTGTGTAAGTATGAGAGTGTGAGAGATAGAGGGAGAGAGGGAGAGGGAGAGGGAGAGGTGAGAGAGATCGATCGTGGGTCAGTTTGATCATGTTATGTCATGTTGTGTTATGTTGTTGTTTTTGACTTCCACGTAATAAAGTATTTCGATTTTAAAAATTGTTTATTTTTTATCTAACTAAACGGAGCCTAAGGTAAAATATTGCTTGTTTCCCCTTTACCGACCGGCTCGTAAAAACGCCCCGTCTCAACAAATTTTATTGGCCGATTAAAAAAAGCAACAACTGAACAGTTATAGTTGTTTAACAGCCTTTTAGCCGGGGCGCGATCGCGCGACATTTTCAAGTTTAGTTGCAAAGGTCGC